ATAACGTTTTTGCTAGTTTTGTTTCTTGTTTGTGAACTTGAACTTTAGGTATATATTCGTGCTCTGAATTAACCGAAACGAAAAACTCAGTGTAAATGAGTCATTTTCAAATGTTCCAATTGTAATTTTATATCAAAATTACATTAGTTTCTACAAATACACAATATAATTATGACTGATGAATAAGAAAGAATATTGATTGTACAAACTGTATTTAAAAAATTCAAACAAATTCACTTTCGTTGACACAGTAACGCAGAAACGTTTTTGTCACAAACTTTTATATACACGAAAATGTATCTACAATTTTACATTGAGTGTCATGTCAATGCAACGTGCTGTTATTATAACAACAATAGTTCACACAAAAGTCGAATTCACCAACATGGTCCTTATGTATGGCGAAGCCCTTGGTTTTTAATTTTTACCTCACTACTGGTTAAACGCTAATCTTTAGGATTGGGAGAAATGGATCGGTGTTGTTGCGAACCCCCTGAACTCAGTGGAAGAACTCAATGCACGTGTGAATACTATTACCTAAATCCTCCATTGGTTGTGGGAACACAAACTTCAATGTTACAACGAATCCAAGCATGTATTGATAGTAAATGTAGACAGTTTGAGCAATAGTTACAAATATGGAACACTGGCTCAAGAGCAAAATTATTAATTTATTGTTACTGTTATGGTAAACCCAAGGTCGGTTGAGTATTTCACTTTATTGCATTTGAATATTTGAGTATCTGCGATTCAATAACATATAAATGCGGTAAAGTAAACATTTGGGAGTTTAAAATAATATAATGGTCTAACACTGCTATACGTATTTCGGTATACGGTACCGTCTTCAGGCAGAAGGGTAACTGGTTTCCTAAGTTAATATTTGACATTTACATACCTGGACTAAGTACAGCGGTTTTACAACTTGAGATTAAGTAGGGGAGATTTATTTACATCAGTTTGATCATTCAAAAGCATATTGAGATTCCTATATCTATTAATTTCTAAACATTCTAACAAATCTAATTTTCGACCTTTATTTTCTATGTGTAAAATTCTAAAATCTTCATTAATTGCATGGTTTTTTTATGAATAAAAGATGACTTGTGCTCTCTAATTCTGTCTTGAAATTTTCTTCCTGATTGCTCAACCTATACCAAGGGGCAGTCACCACGGCTAAGCAAGTAGACTCCTGAATTTCAATCTCGAGGTAACTTATCATTGCTATTGTTAATTAGTTTATGCAATAATTTCGAAATTTTAATCGACGTTTTATCAAAATATGTTAAACTATTATACTGTTTGGGTTCTTTACCTATTGGATAAATTAATGCGGACGTAATTTTTTGTTGCCAAGTCGAACACAATCAAAATTATAGTAAATGATAATCGATTTTCGGACAAAATTATAGACAACTTGTTAAAAAAAAAACAATATAAAATTACGTCAGCACTAGTTTATCCAATAATTAAATTGTGCTCATACTAGATTTTTAACCGTCGGTCCTCTGACTTATAGATTGTATTTACTGTGTACATAATAAACTCAAATATTACACTAAACAGGGGTGAATCTGCCTCTTTACATGTACCTATCTGTAATTTTATTAAGTATCTTTTTCACAAGAACGTCAAAACGTTTTTTCTTTAAAAATTAATCTTGCTATTTAGTATTAAGTATATAAATTTTATAAAACAGTTTCTCTCATATATCCAACCATTGCAATGGTTTCTTTTAAAATATAAAGTTATGTTTATGCAAAATGGATGTTATAAGAATAGACATGTCGTTTGTATCAAATCAAATTCCAACACCTACTCCGAGTGATTTGTTAGAATGTTTACAAATTCATAGATATACAAATCTCAATATGCTTTTGAATGATCAAACTGATCTAAATAAATCCCCCCTACTTAATCTCAAGTTGTAAATCCAGTGTACTTAGTCCAAGTATATAAATGCCAAATATTAACTTATAAATCCGGTTACCCTTATCTGCCTGAAGACGGTACCGTGTACCGAAATACGTACAGCAGTGTTAGACCGATATATGATTTTAAACTCTCAAATGTTCAACTTAACACCCTTTACCATATTTAATAAAGATTGCCCTGTGGTTGACCAAACATATTTTTTGATGTCACCTTTGAAAGTATACTACTTTCATGTAATGCCATTTTCATTTTTGCTTGATATATCTTGTACAATTAAGTCTGTCATTGCAAAATTTGAAAGCAAACTAATTCTAATTAGTACTGTAGCTTGTGATTTTATTAATCACTTTAAAAATGTTTAATACTTGCGACAATAATTTTTAAAAGCTGTAGCTTACTACACTTCAACAGTATTTTAACCCGGCGCATCCACCATTTTATATACACGTGTATGTACTTAAAAATCTATTAATTCACAAAAGTCGTAAAAATCACAAAGAAATGTGTTCAAATAATAAAATTCAGTACACAGCTACAACAAAGAACAACAGTTGTTGCTAAATAATTCTAGAATCGCAAGTATGATATGTCAAAAGCAATCACACAGCAAGTGGGTAACTAATTTGAATAGGATTTACCAGCATTTTACATAAAATTAGTTTTATCATTAATTTGAAAATCATTACAAATAAAATTAAAGAACTTATGTTCCAGCAATAGTCAAATAAATATATCCATAAACAACCTCCGAATTCAAACCAGTTGTATTTGAACCCATATATTACATACGGAAGAGTAATCTAGAGAATGAGATTTTTACTTAATTTGATTAGCGCAGGATTGGGTTTTTTGAACAAGTACTAGATCCACAGAAAATAAAAAGCGGTTACTTAATCACATGCAAAACAAAATCTCTAAATAAATTTCTCCAGAAATAAAGCACCCGTTATGACTCGTTCATACAGATATACAAACTCTAAAACACATATCGAATACGATATTAATCTGAAATTGCTAAATTAACACATTAATTTCACTTTTAGCAAAATGTAGACATACCTGCGTTATAAACAAGTATGGGATCATATTTTACAGAATGAAAACAACCGAGACTCTAAAGGTATGTAAGTATATATTATATTCATAGTAATAGACTTCGGAATCAGTTACTGCAGAATTGTGTTGCATGTACCATGTTCAGTATGGACCTTAAGTAACATAGAAACGTTAACCAATATTCTGTTACAGTGTCCTCCATATTTATCACGTAAACAATACTTCTTTGTCTAAGTTGGAATTATTCTACAATTCTCCCGAAAATCTAGCAGAAAAATTTGCAAAGTATGTAGTTTGTTCGTTCCAGAAGAATAACCTTTAGCTTTAAATTAACAACTGTTCTACTCAGCTTTAAATAAACATAGTCACATACACCATACTAACGTATCCCTAATTAGGAAGATAGGATTATCCTTTGGTTTTCTTAATATTTTTCTAATTATAATTCATGTAAACTGACAAAAGTCTTAGCAAAATGTGTGCTATGCTTCTGATCCACGGAAATATTTGTCCAAAAACTAATTTGTAGTGTCACTTTGAGTTGGCACCATAAATATAAAACTGTCAGATAGGAATTTTACATGAGAGATTTTGCTACGGTTGCGGGTTACCTATTAAAGATATTTCTATTTTCTGAAAAAGATGGTACGTAAATCCTGCACTTATCAAAACAGTTGTTATCCGAAATGTACCTACTCTTGTCAAAATAAATTCAGTTTTTATTTATTCAAATGATATTGCGAATTTTCATCTTTCATAATTACATTTTTCTGTTTCGTTTACTATGTCAGATTTTCGAGTTTTTATAAAAACAATATAAAGAAACACTACTGGTCGTCATAATGATATTTTCATTGGACGAGTAATTATGTCTCCTTCATAAAAGCTTCCTTTATTTAAAAATTTTTAAGCCGAGCAATATTTAGGAAAACATAAAAAATAGCTTTTATTGCGGAGAATTTTCAAATTGATTACGGGGAAAGTTGTTGTTTATGCTTTGAAATTAGTATTGACAATGACATAGTAATATTCGTTAACTAAATAATCTTTTAATTTGGAAAGTATTTTATACAACGCACATATACCGCATTATTTCAGTTAATATGTGTCTTTATCTTTAGTCGGTTACTATTTTTCTTTTGCTGAATCTTTACATTTTTATGAAAAAATGTTAATTAAATTATTATGAAATATATTTTTAAAATAAACTTGTATATTGGTCTCTTATTGAACAAACACAACAAAACTACGTAGAAATATTTGTCACAAATAAGGTTTTGAAAAATACTCGTATATAACTGTTTTAAAACTTTTATCCATTCTCGTATAATATGAAAATGAGTTTGGCTTCAAACGTTAATATCAGTGAATCGGCATGCACAAGCGGACACAGCAAAATTTGCATTTATTTACTACTTTCCGAATTTGTAAAATAAATAAAAGTAAATGATAATAATTCACTATCAGCCTGCAATTCGATTGTTAACAGATCAACAACTGCAGTTTTTAATAGAAACCAATGAATCACCAATAGCAACTACTCTGTATTTCTAGTAGATTTTTTGTTAAAATTATGAAAAACATCAAACGAAATAGCAGTGGTTTTACAGATATATAAGCTTAAGACCCAAGAAATGTAGAATTATCATTATTACCATACTATATAATACTTAATTAGTTTCTTGCTCACACCAGTAATTGTTTAAGTGTCAAGATCCATATTTGAAATTACGCAAAAGTTTTTAACGATTTTATTTCCCTTAGAATACGATTGTATACGCTGAATCATTAAAATTTTTAGACACAATAACAGAAACCTCAATTTCCATATATATCTGCTGACAAAAACGTCAAGCTTTCCTTTGTACACAAAGCAAAGCATCACATCACGTCAGTTTCAAACCGCGTTTTATAAGGAAACCAACGTCATATCTAAGACAACCCCTGCCTCGGTGGTCGCTTTACTTGTCAACAAAGCAATAAAGTATGATTACTTAATGCTTACTCACCGTTCTGTCGCCTGGGTGTTTCACTCGACAGTTGAGCAAAGCAGACTGCCCCACGACAGCGGTGACGTTCCGGGGGCCTACGTCATCAAAGTAGGGCCTTTGAACGATCGGCTTTACGGACTCCACAAACCTAGACTTGGAACTTTCCGAGACTCCCGCCAGACCCGCTGAAACTAAACAGAGACCACTAATTAGACGCAAATATTACCACACTTTTAGAGATATTTGTGTGCTTAACATTCATTAGGGGCAGTGTTTGCGTTTCCATCTGACTTCTAGTTATACAAAGTTGAACAGAAAGTACAAAATTTCTACCTGTGTTTATCTAGTAGTAATGGTAAATATATTCACTTTCAAACTACTAAAATTTATATTAAAGTATCCATTACTTCTAAACATATTATGAAAAATGTTATATCTGCATGAAAGGATTTCTATTAGAGTAATCAACTGGAAAATTAAAATCATTCAGTATAATTTTATGCAAAACAGAAGTCACTTGTTGGTACAGAGTGGACATGCATCTACCTGAACTTGTGGCGAAGAGTAGATAAGAATCTGTACACTGTAAACATGACTATTAGATCTTAACACATCCGTTACCAAGTCATTTGAAACTACTTCACCACGTCAGGCCTATTTCCTAAAGCGTACACCGGTATGTGCTGTGGCGTACACGGGAAGAAGATGTCATTTGTATTTTTTACTGCCAGAGAGGACACATTCAGCGGACACATTTGAAGTTTTTCCACGCCATGGCGGACATTTAGGCGGACACCATTGTGTCAACGGACACAGACAATTCTTGTCTAAATTTGCATTTCCCGGCGAATGCACGAATCTTTTTTGCTTTAACATATTCCCCAAAAATTGTGTACGTCTCAAAATGAGTGAAAGGGGAAGAACAATTTTAGGGCTTGCAAGGGTAAATAACATTATTGAAGGTAAGTATGTAAAAGTAAGTTCCTAACTATTTTCTTATCGTCATCGGTTAAAGTGAGTAAAAAAACAATGATTCTTTATTTTGCGGTATTTATTTAGCGAAATTTGGGTGTTCTTTAGCAAACTTTGGTACGTTGTTTAAAAAATATAATTTTTATGATGATGATGTGGTATTTTTTAAATAAGGCAATATATTTTTGAAAACGTTTTTCATAATATCTTATTATATGCGAAAAAATATTTTAAATTGTGTCCGCTCTGGCGTCCTGCAGTAAGCAAGAACTGAACCCTTCACAGACGCCGGAGCGGACACAAGTAACGGACACAGCATGTAACTGAGCAATAGTCGTTCTTATTACCAGATCACATACGGCAGATTCCCCACCAGCACGGGGACAGATACACTGCTAATGTTCAACGCTTGATTCAGTGTACGTTCGGCGTCAAAAATAAAAGCTTCAACGCACACCTGTCTCGTCGCGGCGTGGTAAAGGAGGAAACAAACAGACACCGGTGCCCGTGTTGACATCGAATGTATTAATCCCTATTAAAATTACAATAAAGGAATTAATAATACACAGTAAATATCACATTTCCTATGTATAAGTATAACTAAATCATTATAAGTCTTTTTTTCTCAGTGAAGAACTAATAATTCTGATAATTCTGTGTTGCCTAAACATTTTCCAGCATCGCCACAACTAAAAATGATAAAATTTTATCGGTACGTTTCATATGTAATCAGTAAGAAAAATTCTAAATGCAAATTTAAAGTACTGTTTGAAATTTAATTGCTACGTAAAACATGTTTCTGAAGCTAGACTGAAATAGACTGACATTCAAGTCTGCTGTTAACATTTCCATTGTTGTTCGAACATTTGTAGTGAGCTCCTTGTTAATCGAAGTTAACCAACAGCAACTAACTCGTAAAGGTGATTAAATCTCATCTGTTTTATACCACACTGCAATTTTTTAAATCGTTGTTAAGTTATAAGTTATGATAAATTAGGTTATTAGCACTTACTACTGATATAGTGAGAAATTTAGTAAGCTTTTATGTGTGGTGGTGTTTGGTGTAATTTTAATTTAAAAATTGTTAGCAAAGAAACATTTGGCGACTACTTGGTCGGAAAAGAAATTTTTAGACTTCAAAAAGAATCAGTCTGCTGAAATTACGAAAACCCAAGAAGAGTATGTATGTAGGTACATTTTAATAATGAATTTTCATGTAAATATTAATTAACTTATTGTCGATTTTTCAAAATATTCATTTTATAGGTTGTTGCAGAACAACCACACTTGCACCATTCACATTATTGTGAAATGGCTGTTTACTAGATATTTATTTATTTTCAATTAGGCAAGTTAAAAGACATGTTCATCAGTTCATCCAATCCAACCGAGGTAGATGATAGTTCTTTATAGTTATAAGACACTATATTATGTTTAATTATGACCATAATGTGATACAGTGGTGCATAATACGCAAGCGCGTAGTTCTTCATTCTGATCGCACTCTTTGACCGACGGATAATAGGCTGAATTGTCCACTGATTAATTTAACGATGCTTTAACAACGATTAGAGCGCCGGTTTAAGGCGTATACAGTGCAAAGAGGTATCGTGCCGCACCGTTCGCATTTGCTGACTATCTGTCAGTTTTGACGTTTGTGTAATATAAAATCTAGAAAGTTTGTTGATAACCGCTATCACCTAGGTTGTTGTTGAATGTATTTTCACATTAGAATGTTGTACAGGACTTTCAAAAATTATTCTAAAATTCAAGTGTCCCCTGATTTGTTTGCTTCTTCTGGAGTATATACATATTAATTGGAGCTTTTAAAATGTCTACCATTGCTAAGAAGTGACAACTCCGCAACTTTTTTTAAATTTAACAATTTAAAAGCCCCTTTATTAATGAATTAATAATTGAATTATCACATCATGATGATATACAAATGTTGCAATCTTCCTTCGGCCACGAATATTAGAAACAAGTGATAGAAAAATTTTCTATTTAAGCAGACGTACAAAACAACGGCACACTCAAATATTCTAGACACAGTTCAGAAAATAACCCTTGTGTAACAAAGTGAAATTAATAACATCCTTTTCTTTGAACTTTAGATCTGGCAATGAATTTTTTGCTATGTTTAAAGTATCGAGGAAAGAGACGTGAGGGTCATAGCTCACTCTAGAAAAGTTTTCGACCATTCTTTATAGGAGAGATATTTTATGCGATAAAGACTGTGTAAATTTTTCTGTATAATTAAGCAGTTTTCGCACGCACTGTGTTAAAAATATCGTAAATCGAAACATTGTTGCTTAGTTTTCAGTTACATCCCAAGTAGCACACTCTGATTTTTAAACGTTTATTTTTTAACAGAATAATTCATCTAATTATAGTTTGTCATAGAGCTTTTATAGTCCGAAAAATGTCCGCCCGTTTCAACTTTTATAATATGTATTATACTGATGTTTATTAAACATCGAGATCTACCGTTTTTTAAATGTATTGATATTATGTCTTATTATCATTTAATGTATGCACACATTATACGTTTCAATATACATTTTTATTCACTTTTAGTAAAGCTACAAAAATGACACAAAACAAATATTTATAGAATGTTTATTAAGAACAATACACAAAAATTACAAAATCAAAATAGACATATTAAACTAACCAAAAATTCTTTCGTAAAAATTGAAAATCCATATATAGCGATTATAATGTTGGAACTCTTCTTTGAGAGTATTCGTACCTCGCTTTAGCCAAGCGTAACCAATCCTTGACTGCATCATTTATGTTTTTGTCCTAAAGATCTGATGGATTTTGTCTCGAAAATGATTGTCGAATGGCATCTAAAAATGACAAAGTTACTCACTTGTTACAAACAAACTCAGTAATGTTAAATAGAAGATTACTCCATTTCGATCAGTAATTGATAAGTCTATCTGCACTAGATTTATTGGACTTCAATATTAAAAAGTTGTATTTATGTAAATCATGCATCTTTTATACATATTTTAGATCTAATAAAATTACAAAATTTATAAACGTTATAAGTCCAAACAATAAATTGGTTGTCACATTAGATAACTGTACTTGTGAATTTATATGACCCAGTCATTAACTTTCACGTTTGATACAAAAAATATGATATACCCGCCAATGCGTCATTTCATGTCGATGTTATTCTGCGCAATAAGCAACAAATCTGTTCAACGCAATAAGCAATTCATTACTTATTGTGTAAAGTTAGTAGTTAGCCTATCTAAGTATACCAAATTATCTACCTACATGTTACAACATTTATAGTTAGAGTGATATGGAAGAAATACACAAACTGTACTTACCAGAGTACCGCAATAAAAATATTAGTTTCCAGCACAACGCGCGTCTGTGGTGTACGCGTGGACGTTGGTCAGTGGCTACATGAACAAGTTACGTGCGCGGCACAGGTGCGCGACCGATTGAAAATGTGACAGCACAGCTCTTCAGCTCTTCGAGTTTGCTTCGAGTTTTTCAGTCGAAAATGTCCATTTTGCTTATTTGAGACTATTAATTAATAAAACCATTTCCATCTGTCCACTTCCCAGTACAAATTTTCGGAAATTGCTGGGTGTAAAATGTTTTTTCGGGGAAAAAAATTGGAGAAAATTTTAATGGGTCTTAAACGTTATCAAATCTTTTTAGATGTAAAAAAAAACTTGAACGCAATGATACGTAAAGGTAATAGATACCTAATTGCCTACATATCATAAATCACCGCTAATTTGTAGTTTTTATAATTATATCATGCTATTGACCCGTACCGTATAATAATATACGTGTAGAAGACATTATTTAATTAAAGTGCTCACAAACAAATCTGAACAAAAATTTACGTGCTAAAACTTGCAAAGGAGACATAGGACGTATTTTATAATTTAATTTCATGTAATATTACCTATAGAAACCATAGAAAAACTTGATGAAATAAAATATGTTTATAAAATACCAAATATAAATGTATATAAAGAACATTAATAACACATTCTTATATAGAGGTACTTTCCGCGACAAAAAAATTAAAGGAAATGACTATGAAACGACTTACTTTTGTGCTTTATATAAAACAGATAAGTTTTTAGAACTGAATTTACAAGAAAATATATAAAACCTATAAACAATACATTTAAAAATCATTTAAAATATGTATAATTTAAAAATGATTTATGAAATACGT